ATGTTCCATAATTGTTTGTATTATCTGTATTCGCTGTTGTTGTCAGTTCGTTTGTATTCTGCCTAACAGTGCATTTTACGGCTTAGCAAACGAAGAGTGCGGTTTTTGATGATTTTAGGTTGTTTGTAGCTTATGGGGACCGTTTGAAGAGCTGACTGCCTTGTAACACATAAGAGCGTGCGCAGTAAGAAGTCCCAATGAGCATCCACATCAAGTTGAGGGTGAACATTTCAATCCACCTGTTGTAGATAGTCCTGTAGAGATGACATATTCAGCCGTTTTAAATTCCAGCACCTGTTGTTGGTGCGATGTCTTAGCTCTGTTTTGCTGACAAAACTGAAGGCTATAACGGCGTCATTAATTTCCCAAGGGGAGCCAGAATTGAGAGGTTGCCAACTGGATATTCTTCGTTTGTAAATACACAGCCTAGGCGCGACGGTGTCTGACTGTTTCTCCAACGAGTTGCTGTCTTCAAATTTTCGTATAATCCCAAATCCTCAATGATATTGAAGAACCGAGCTTTGATTGGACTTTCACCTGCAATATACGTATGTTCCGCAAAGTTGACTCCAGAGAGATTGAAGTCCCCTGGAATCAGGATATGAATGAAACCGAGATGCGTGGAGCGGGATAGTCTTTCCAGCGCACGACTGTCATACTCGATGTCGGCAATGGGCTTCCTATATATGACTCCGACTAGTCACCTCAAAGTAGTGGACCATCTCACAGAGCACCATATGGATTCATCAAGATTGTTAAACTCATGGTTGTGAACTTGGTGTACCTCCAAGCCAGATCGTATGTATAGGGCTACTCCACCCCCAATTCCTGTTTTTCTGTCATTGCGAAACAGAGACATCCCAGGTATTGCTAGCTTCTGATCCGAAAACTGAAAAGATATCCAAGTTTCAGATATTCCTATCAGATGAACCTTATGAGCATTGCTAAGTTCACGTAGCTCATCCATTTTATTTGGTAGACTCGCGGCGTTCATGTATAAGCAGTTAATGCTTTTAATTTGAAATGAGTGAGCTTCTTCCTGTTTGTCTGTGTGATCCTTACGTGAGTGGACAGGTAGCCTACCTATATAAGGTTTGCCGAATTGGTGGGCCCTGTCCTTTACACGTTTTTTATCCTCAAGACAGTCTATAAGTGGAATGGTCAGCTCCAGCTTGCCTTTGTGCTTGATCCTGGCGTCATATGGCCTGTCCGGGTGCATGTGGATCCCAGTTGGCGACCGACATCTGTTGGCATAAATGCTTCAAGAGCTGCAGCCGCCATATGGGAGGATGGAAAAGTTATTCTCACTAGTTGGGGTCTAGGATAACAGTCCTTCTTGGCCAGTTTCGTTACATGCTGAGTCAGTATGATTTTGAGCCTCAGGAACTATTTGATGAATTTCCATTCCCTAATATCAAAGTTTGCTTGACAGGGGTACGTGTTTTCCGGAACACCTTGCACAATGATATTTCCTCCACGGAAACACTTCTCGCGAGATTCTTTAGGGATGTTCCGGACGAGATTGCGCTCAGAATACGGTATGCCAGGCAGTATTCTAACGTTCCCATCGGATTTCGGTAAATGACTAGTTAACAAGACATCCTCTACGTAGGAAGCACTCCTAAGTGTTACACGAAGTAGCCTCGGATGATTTTGATGCTTAGATTCCTTTTGCCAAGTGAGCCGTGTGACCGTCAAACCCCTTATTCTAGGAGGTTCAAGCTTTCTGTTCAATTCACCCCAGAGCATCCTGTCATTTTATCCTGCAAACTGAGAGGTAAGTCAGGGTTGTCTTTGAGGTTCATGATTATGAGAGAGTTATCACGAACCGTTATTGTTTTTCCAGGTTTTCCGGTGCGTTCAAGTTCGGCACCCTGTATTTTGAAAGACGAAGTGTAGAATTATGATCCACTATGATATTGGTACTGCCCTAATAATAGACCTAATCCTAAAATTGTAGATTCGTTATGATATAACTGCCTAATCTATAAGATCTTACGTGGGAGTCACATCGTCTTCTACACCAACTCACTGCATCGTCACAATTACCAATACATGATAAAGAACAAGCTTAGGCCAGAAATAGAACAATATATTTAATATGAATAAAAGATATAAGGTAATATTCAGTAAGGACCACGCCTGCATGGCCGAGCCATGTCATCCGATCAACTCCAATTAATCCTATATCATTGTTCCCGCCTTTCTCATCGTCTGGTTTTTCTCAGCGTTAAATGTTGAATATTTATTTTCCATATTGTCTCGTGATAGGGCCCACTGCCACTACAGAAGCACGTTTCTGAATCCTAGACTTTTTCATGGCTGGACGGACATTCCTGAATTTAGACTGCGATCAAATCACCAGTTGAGTTCCCTACAATACTTGAGATTTTCACATTATACAGTGACGCATGGTCCTTTTTAGCTCTACGGAGTTTTTTTGGAACCACTATTGTATTCAAGGACCCCGAGCTGGGAGACCCGAGTTTAGTGAGGGAGTCCATTACCGTCGACGTAATGATTGTGCCAAGTTTCAACATGTCATCATCATTGCTAACGCGTGCTGCATTGATCGTAGACCTGTCGACATTCATATTCTTGTCCTCTTTGCGCGCCCTTGTTTGTCTACCCGGTTTACGACTGTATTTTTCCAAGTTTGCTGACAAATTGTTCTGCAGACCTGTCAACAGGACAATGATGTTACTTAGCAAAACTACAACATCCGTGCTGCTCGTAACACATACTCACTTTTGATCCGACTTGCTGATTCTGTGGTAAGCAACCGCCTTGAGATCTGTGCACACTTCATGGAACTAACCTTTTCGGTTGTCACACTGCATGCTAAATGTAACAGCAAAACGGCATCCAGGTTGTTTGCATGAATTTTTCATGACTGTATTGATGTAAACTGTATTATAGATACTATCAAAAGCTAAAGACCGTTAAAAGTACACTAAAATGCACACTAAAAACGGGAAAAATGGATAAAAACAGATGAGGTAGACTGAACTAGCCTTTACATGAAAATCTGAAAAAACCAAATAGTAAACTGAGGCAAAACCACAGTTAACTATTAAATTGGGCGAACCTCAAAAAAAGTAGTCTACCGAACTTATAGCTCAGAGTAGATTGTTTAGATCAGAAATGGTACTTTTGTTGCGTAAGAACACAGCAAAAGTTTGAGAAAAGCAAACTACGTTAGGACTAAACTTCCCGTTTAAAAAGCGCGCGTAAGTCGGCATAAGAAGCAGGAATATATGGAATTTAAAAACAAGTTAGTCGATATCAAACTCAGAATCTTCAATAAGTACGTAAAAACAGTCCTAATGTACAAAGTTGAAACTTGGAGAACTACTAAAACCATCGTCAAAAAGTACTGGTATTTATAAACAATTGTCTGTGCTGGATACTCCGCAGCAACATACTGTGGGAGAGAGCAAACAGTCTTTGAACTGAAGGATAAATTAGGAAAAGGTACTGAGAGTGGATATGACATACATCGCCGAACTAATCAAAACATATCACAAGAAAAGTTCTAACTGAATAGAGGGCAGATACCATGAGAACGGATGACAACTGGAAAAAAGTAACAAGAACAGAGTTCGATAAAGAATACCTTTCGAAGGCGTATTCTCCTCCATGAGGGGCGAAAAACGTAAGCGATTTGTCGGAACAAAAATATATGGATGGGTGGTATTGTTAGAACTTGCCCTTCAAACTCCTCCGATACGAAGTAATACATCACATAACAGATGGATATGATAACGGGTCTCGCTTAGACAATAGTTTTGAACGAATCTGAGATTTAGCCATCAAAGTAATAATTTCAAATCCAATTACAGAGTATACACTCTTGTGTGCGGAACTGCAAATGAAGCGAAACAACTTATTACGAAGATTGGTAATGAGGCGCCTTCTTACCATTGACATTTTTGAGAAGGAACAAATCACAATATATAGATTCAGTACACCTCACCCGTTCATCATATTTATTCTGCATTTACTGGTGCTAAATATACGTATTAGTAGTAAATGAACAAACCTTTTTTATTACATGCAAAGCGCTTTCTGAGTTGCCGTTCTTGTGGTGATATTGTAACGATCCACAGACGACATAAATAGTTGAATACACGCTTCGTCTGATTAAGACAATTAAGACTAATCATCTATCTGGATAATCAAGATAACGCTTATGCCTGTTCTCCGCTATTCATATCTAACAGACAATCACATTTGTAGTACTCAATTTCTGGATATTTTATTCAGACTTGAGATTTGAATTGTACCAGTTGCCAGAGTGTGTATAAACGAATAGATTTCAATATTGCAGAACTGTATAACGTTCCCAAAGATCGAAAAGCTAAAGATAACTGTGAAAGCATATAATGAAGTTAATACAGTCCAGAGGATGGTTAGGCAATATGCATTTCTGATTTGTTAAATTCCGATTCGACACTCACAAATGCAGACACATACTCATAAGATAAAAAATATGCCTACTTCCTACCATGATGTAAAGTACTTGGTAAAAAAAGTAGACAGCAGACAAAGGTAATCTAGATTCCCACTTCAGGTGTGGTATTTGTATAAACTGCCGTTCCTTTATATGCGCGTATTACGAATCACAAACATATTACGTCAAGGCAACGCTCCAGGGATATCGCGACAATTTTTTGCGCTAATTTTTAATTTCTGCTTTGTGCACAGCCAAAATTCAAGATTAATTATAAGTAAATTTTATTTTTCGTTTTCACAATTAAGTAAAAAAAGGTTTTTCCATATGGACGCAAACGTAGGTCAGTGTCTGTTTTACTACACATTTTGCAGAACGTCAATAGCAGAGAATTACCTCTTCTGAGGCATTCTTTAAAGTGTTTATGAGCAATTTCGACACGGTTGTTAGTTTGTTTACCCAAACTTAATACATATCGCCCACATTGACTTCCGGGCAATCCAGTAATCTTTTATGTAATCATAGGCCTGTGAGTTCAACAACCTGGGTACAACTGTGAACGCAGTTTGGAGTTATCAACCTTGGTAAGCTGTTTATAGAACGTCCAAGAAACCAGATGCCGTAGGCTACGAGTTGGCGTATCACTCAATGAAAACGTTCTTAAATATAAGAGTCCATTCGACGTCCACTGCCATCTCGATGGATCGACAGAAATATATCCTTCTGTGCAAGGATGGTTGTGAACGGTCTTAATAGGCGGTTTTTAGCTCACCATTTACTGTATGGACCCAAAATACAGATTGACAATGACAATATTTCGACCTGAAGGTATGGCTGAACTCAATTCAAATCTAAATTTAACCGTTTCTGAAATACTTCACCAATTGCGGGTGTGATGCACCGATCATCTCGTGAGCTTGACCTTCAAGTGCTCGCAACCTCCATCGGTGGACGATACCCCTGAAGTATTGCCTTGCGTCAAGTTGTACTCACCTAGTTCTACCTGCCTTGAATAGCACCATTTCGGAAATTCTTAGCTAGCGCATTATTGTGAATACTCACAACTATAATAATATACAAATCCAAATGTTTGATTTGTTTAAAGCTACTCGAAATGTCCTAATACTTGAAGGGGCGCTATCTCACTTAAAAGATTGTCGAACTATATACAAGCGCACCAGTTACTAAATCGCCGATAAATAATAAGAGCAGGAGTAGCCCGACAATAGGATATTATCGTTGTTAAATGGAGACTACAAATTAGTCTAATAGCTCAAACATTATAATCTTCCCACAAACCGGTCACTTAGTTTAATATCCGCCAATCCTAATTTTAAGTCGGGAGGTACATCTCTTTTGAACCCACTAGTGTGCCACACCCCAGAGGACTTTGGAGCTTAAGATGAAACCACAAATGAACTTATTGACCTTTGAAGGACAAATACTATGTCCCGACGAAACTAATAAATGGTAAATTTTGGATCTGTTTATGGACCAATACTAAACGTATATTTTTGTTATAATTGTTAGATAATTAAACTAATCATGTTACTCTTATTAATAGCTTTATTTTGACCCATGAACCATTATTATACGTTTTACCACTCTTGAATTATGCAGTCTATTAGTCACTGTCTCCCACATTTAGTACGTTGTGGTCTGTTTGATTGGTACATAAACTCAGTATGTCTGGAATACAATGATTCATATTGCAGAGGCTGAGAATGGCATTCTGAACTTAACTGGTTGGGCTAGGCGGGACCTATCAGAACTATAGGCAGCTGCACGTGTTTTACGCGTTCTTGGTCCGATCAACAATTCACTGCCCTCTAATCAGCGGTCCAACATATAACAGATACCTAGCCGTACATTTATCCCAGTGTATGACTGACTGCCTCACATATCCAATAATTCTACCCAGAAATTGAAACGTAGTAAAGTGGGTCTTAACGATGTCTTAAAGTTGTGTCGATCTGGTGCGATTAATGAATTAGCTAAGCTATGAGACCGTAGTACCATTATTCATGGATGAACTATGAATTTGGGAGAGGACCTCAAAAAATTGATACATCCTAATCATTATAAGCTTCCGTAGACTGTCTCTCGGTGTAGAGATTCGTATTCGCTTACGCCAAAGTCACTTCTAGGGACGTTTTGGGAAAATCCATTTTATTTTTAAGGAAAGAATCTACACTTTCTTGAGACGAGAGGTTAGATGCACGAACTTTGGTTGGCTTAACCTACTGAAAGTCACATATTTGAAATCATAGATAAGGTAGACTGAATTCAGGAAGTGTATTTTTACTAAGGTAAAAGATCCTACTCCTTAAATGATTATAGTCTCCAGAGCTGTTATTCATATGCTTTGGAACGACGCAAAGCCTGGATAAGATAGTCACAAATAAAATCAAACCTGAGAGTTGAAGCTTAAAGCTAGTAGACTGTTAATCAGTAGCAGACAGTCTTAGTGATACAATATGAGATTGATGACAGCAAAAAAAACAATTCGGAATGTAATTTAACTGCACTATTCCCTTAGCTGAACTACTGCATAGCTTGTAGAAACCGGACCGACCAATAGATATGCAGACTCAAGTGCCCGAAAAACGAAGTCCAAGGGACCCAATAAGTTATTTTCAGAGAGAAAGATGATGACCAATCCAAAATGAAGTAACTGTATTACCAATCTATATGAAAAGCTTGTGTTAAACAAACACCAACTAATAAAATACAAGTACGTTCCTAAATATATGAATATTTAGTCTTGGTTATTTACATGTCACGAAAATTGGGCATAACATTTCAAAAAATGGCTAGCAGAATCTAATTCAAGTTACATTACGACAGCGAGTAGGTTAACCACATTATTCTCCTTCTAATAACGTTTGTTGCATATCCTCTAACAACTGACTCACTTTATAAGATTGGTGGTGAGAATGAGAATAAAAAGTACATCTAGACAAATCTTTGACTGAAGTGTTCAGTTCGTATTATTAGGATAATTTCATCCCATTCAATCTTTTAAATAAGAGAAAGTAAATAGGAAAATAGGATGAAAGAATAGAACAAGAAAAGGAATTACAAAAGTGAGTAAAGTAATAATAATTAGTACAAACACTGTAGTAATCTACAAAATAGAACACTGATCGTCCTCTGAACTATGGAATGTGACTGCCTAGTCATTCTTAAGCGAGAACTTATTGTTTTTGTGCTTGAAATCGACTTCAAAAGCACAAACGCGAGGAACCCATCCACAAATTTTGACAGAATCTGTAAAGAAGTAAAAAAACGAAAGTAAGAACACATTTAATTGTTATTCGCTGAAAAATTCCCATTATATTAAAACACAATTGTATGAACGAAGAATATTCTTTTCAATAATTTCTCATCAGGTTCTACAATTATAAATGCAAATTAATAATCCATAGAATTGGCCAGATTTAAGGCAGAGTACATCATTTGGAAATTGTAATATGTAAATCAAGAATTGCTATTTGTTATATATCAAATCAAATCAGATAACGTTGGAGCTGACTAATATGAAGTGTTAACTTGAATCAGTTTATAAGCAAAATGAAATTGTGCGATAAATAATCAGAATAAATATGGTCAACATGGGGTAAGAGCAAAAAGTATTATAATAATAAACTTTGGTCTAGGAGCAACCTAGGAAAATCAAGAAAGATGCTCACTGACCAATGATAATGTTAACGAGTGCTATATTTATAGATGACGAAGGAGAATCACTATATTGATTATGTGCTGCTCCATGAACCAAATGAGGGAAAATTACGTGTCAATGTGATTATTATTTAATCTATTGCTTAACTAACTGGCAGCATCCCTAAAGAAAGTAGAATATTTACGAATTAAAAACTGAATACTAATGCTAGCAAATTACCTGAAAAATCATCAAAACAACTTTCAGATGGGACCAAACGACCATAAATCCAGTACCTGGTAAATGAAACAATAGAGAATAATAAATACATCCAATAAATGAATTTACAAAAAAATATCTGTTAAATCCATATACAATGGTCAGTGTATCCAGAACACTATAATATAAATTTCCCACCCATACATGTAAAATATCTTCGGTGAAACAAAATTGTGATCATAAAGAAATCCAAAACCAAGCAAATACCTTTTAAAGACAAACCAAAATATGGGTCAAAAGATACAAATATTAAAAAGATATCCCTTGATGAGGTAGCTTCTGACTAGGAATTTCGTTCCATAGTTCGAATAAAATAACGAGAATAATCAATAGACAAGGCAAATAGCTAAACTAAAATATTGTAATTAGGATGAAAGCGTTTATAATTAGCTAATAATGGGTCGAAATGAAAAAATATTACTATTTAGTAAATTTCTGAATGATTTGAACAATCGATCATGAAACGAGAAACAAGTACAATAAGAAATTTAAAGCTTAACTCTAGTATCAAGGACTTTTCACGAAAATAAAATGCATATGAAGTACAATAAGAAGGAAAGTGAAATGTACTAATAACTAGACTTGTAAGAATACGTACATATAATAAGTGAAACACACTGATGACTAGGTGGAGCACACTCAACAAAAACGTGATATACAGAATTTTTGGAAAAAAGGTTGAGGGAGCACACTTATTATTTCAGCAAAAAAACTACTAATGTGATGTTGGAAACTTATCAACAAAATACATGAAACCATAACAAACCGCTTTCAGAGAAAATGTAAAAGCAGCTAAACGAAAGGCATACCATCTAAGAACGATAGACGTAGATTTTCAGCTTATAGGAACAAAAAGAAACTTCAGATTAAGTTTTGTTATACGTACCTTACATGTAGTGTATTAAAACAAAAAAGCACTATGTGAGGTAAGTGAAGCCACAGAGATACATATTATTTTCTAATAAAACGGTCGTTCTATTTAGTAAAAAAAATGGTAGTACTAGTAAAATCTACTGAACGTAAACGTGATATAAATTGATCGTATCACCTGTATCTTAACATCTGCTTTCACTAGATAGATATCTAGTAATTAAATTAACAACTCACTGTGTAAATAAGATCGCATAATTACGCATAAAAATAAAGTTAAAACTAACTTGAAAGTACGAAAACTGTTAGTGCAGAAAAATTAACTTCCTCGTACGGAACTGCTTAGCATTATGAATTTACGACCACATAGGGGGTTAAGTTCAGCTTTTGGACCAAACAGTTCATGTCTAACTTTAATCAATTCCCAATACCAGTAAATAATCTTGAGAGGTGATTCCTGGAGTTATAGTGATGAGCCGTGACCAGGAATAGTTCAACTATGTCGGAAGGCATGAGATAAATATCACAAATGATAATAGATGATGGTCGTGCAATTGAATTGATCGAAGTTAGAAATGTAAACCACTGGATTTCAAACCCGGTGGTCTAGTGGTCCAGCACACGTTGAGAGATTTGAAAGTCGTGCATTCGATCGGATCGTAGATGCTTACTAAGGAAGTCTCATCGTGATGACCCAACCGAGCTATATTGGCTAGAACACATGTTCCTGCAGGTTCTACCATGCCAGGCAGGTCGATTGGAGAACGGTAAGACCAAAAGCAGCAACTCAAGGTCTGAGGGCGAAGTCGTACTGCCGACTGTACAGAGGTGTGACAGCAGTAAGGTGTTTCCCTCGGACAACCAGCATCTGCAGCGATGCTGCCCTCTCACAAGGAAGGAAGGGGTTAGAAAACGCTGACCCTAAAAATGTCACACCTCACCTTACCCCACGGATTTCCGTCTCCGGCGATAAGGCCCTTTGAAGAACGGAGCTAACACATTAAAAACTTCCCACAAAAAGGCCGTGCGCGACCGGCCTCAAGCAGTTGTTCCTTGGGCTCTGCGGTCACGCTCCCAGGTCGTTAAGACCAACACTAATCCGATTTCCGTTTCAGGTTCCTCAAGAAATACCCTTCCACGGTGTGGGCAGCCGGGAAGTGACATCAGCCCTCATACCCGTAACAGCACACGAGACCACGTTGGTCACGATCAAATCCTTCCTACACCTCCTAATAACTCTCTTATATCCACGACTAACTCTATTCACATCCCTTTATCACCTCGCCCCGCTAGTGCAAACGATTTGAGAACGCGGAACGTTATTCCTGGTCTCCTGAAACCACGCTCTAAACTACATCTAGGAGCTTTCAACTTCCGAACACTGTGCCAAATAGGACAACAGGCTTCCTTAGCTAGGACTTTAGAACCTCGCTCCATCGATGTGTGCTGCGTCTCCAAAACGCGCACACAGGATCCGAGTAGTGTCATTCATTTGACCGCACCATGTCAAAGTAACGAACCAGCTCGATTTACGCTTCGTATATCTGGAAGCCCTGATGCTGCTTCCCGTGGCCTCGCTGGCGTAGGTACAGCATTGAGTCCTAGGGCAGAACTAGCTCTCTTAGACTGGATCCCAGTAGACAGTCGTTTGTGCGCTGTCCGACTAAACGGAACAGTAAGGACTCGGAAAGATAGGGACACTCGTCGTTGCCTCTTCGTCATCTCTGCCTACTCTCCCATTAACTGTAGCTCATATGATGTGAAAGATGAGTTTTACAGAAAGCTTTCCGACCTTCTCCGAAAAGCTGGGCGCTCTGATGTAGTAATAGTGGCTGGTGACTTTAATGCTCAAGTAGGTAAACTAAGCGAAAGGGAAAGACACCTGGGTGGATCTTATGGTGTCGCGGCTCAAAGAACAGATAATGGCGACCGTCTGTTGCAGCTATGCTCAGATAACCGCCTGTTTCTTGCAAACACTAACTTTAAGCATAAGGAAAAACATCTTTTAACATGGAGACCCTCGAAGGCTCTCTGCTCGAACACAACTGGTCGAGTTGAAGCATATGGCGAACTGTCATCAGAACTGATTACCTCAAGTGGTGTTCGTCAGGGCTGTCCACTCTCTCCATTCTTGTTTAACTTTGTCGTTGACGTCCTTGTAGAAATAACACTTTCCTCATCTAAATTTCCAGGAGTTGAACTTTTACCGGGGGATTCACTTTTTGACTTAGAGTATGCCGATGACATAATTCTATTTGGTGAAGACGCTGACAAAATGCAGAGTCTGCTGACCACTCTAAGCAACAATGCAGGCATGTTCAGTATGCGATTTTCTCCCTCGAAATGCAAAATTTTGCTTCAGGATTGGGTTGCATCGGCACCCGAACCAGTGATAGGGAGTGAAGTAGTTGAGCGTGTCGATTGCTTCACTCATCTGGGAAGTCTCATCAGCCCTTGTGGTCTGGTGTGTGACGAAATCTCAGCACGAATACAGAAGGCTCGACTAGCTTTTGCCAACTTGCGTCATTTGTGGCGTAGGCGAGATATCCGTCTATCAACCAAAGGACGTGTTTACTGCGAAGCAGTTCGTTCCGTCCTACTTTATGGCAGTGAAACATGGCCGGTAAGAGTAGAGGATATTCGTAGGTTACTAGTATTTGATCATAGATGTCTTCGAAACATTGCTCGTATATCCTGGGACCACCGAGTAAGTAACTCAGTTGTTAGGAAACGGGTACTAGGTAAGGATGGTAAGTCAATTGATGAAGTAGTGAAACTTAATCAGTTGAGATGGCTGGGACATGTATTGCGCATGCCCGACTACTGACTGCCACGACGTGCGATGTTTTCTGCTGTAGGAATAGGTTGGGAGAAAGCTATGGGCGGCCAGACCAAAACATGGCACAAATCCATGAAGTCACTGACGAGTGGACTGAGCCATGTTGGTAGATGTAGACTACCTGGTTGGGGACCGCAAGATGATAGCAACCGATGGTTAGAGACCTTGAATGACATGGCTCAAAATCGTTTGCAATGGCGCAGGTGCATCCACTCTCTGTGTTCTCTCAAACTCTAATCTTCTGTATTCTTCATGTCCTTTATTTCTTTCCAAATCTATTCCACTGGACTGTACTCCTTAAATAACATCATCAAACCTTAATGTTCCCTGTCACTACTTATACTTTCACTACCTCTAGCACTACGGGATTTGAATTGATAAGTGAATCTCTGTGGTAATGTGGTATGGCAACTCGAACTTATGTACGTACGTACGAAGTTCCACGTTGTTACTGACTGACTCATTACAGAACAAAACAGCTGTCTAATGCATTCGCTTTTCGATGTCCGTCTAACTAGGATCAGTCCGTATTGTAATCTATGAAATATTCATCACAAGGAGTTAAAATATACAAAAAGAGTGAAATAAATATATCTAAGTTAATGTAACTTTTAAACACTCTGATAATCATATGAAAACTATATAGCAAGATTAGGATTACACTTTCTTGAATCAACAACACCTAATACTAATCAGATGATCTTATGTTTGCAATCTCTTATTCCTGTTATCAAAGGACACAAACTGAAAAGCGTACAATTTATTATATATTATCTGTTCATAAGTCAACTTGATATAATTACCCTAAGGTCTTTAAACCACGATTATTACACTATACAACAGAAATAACAATGTGCACTGAATGATGTACTTTGAAAAACGAAGATTCAGTTTCCAGCATATATTGGATTACTATTTTGTCATTTAATAAAACAAAGCACTGAACAAACTTTATTGAGATAATAAATGAATCCAAACCAGTCTGAAAGTACTAGTTTGTCCTTCAAAAACCCAAAAATTGGCAAGGTTTTTGAAGACATTTGGAAAAATTTATGTAGTAAGCACAAATCTGTATTACAAAATTCAAGGTGCCCAAAAACTAAATGAAATTGGAATGCTCTTACAAAAAAAGATATCACCTTTAATACTCTTCTAATGAGATTTTAGTACGATTTTGAGGAACATACGTAATTTCGAAATTAGGTTAATCAATCTAAATACAAATTACTAGATTATTACTTGTTTATAGGTTGCTCTTCTACAGTTAGTTTTTTTCACTTCAAACAATATGGAGTGCCTTTCGCTTACTTTGTTCCTCTTGTCACCATAAGAGCATCACCGACACGTACAGGTATTCTGGGTTCTTCAAAACATGGGGAACGTATCGCAGTTAGACATCCATAACGAAAACACAAACACCGACTTCCATCATAATTTTGGGTAATTCTGAATGTGCGCTGAATTTTTTGCTTCAACCTTTTCTGATAGATCTGTTCCAACTAGCAGAATATAACGAAACTATACAAGTAAAACTAAAGCTGAATGTGACACAAGAGTAATTATGAACCATAATTAGTAAATATTATTTGACAAGAATTAAATATCAAACAACGTTCACCATTTAAATTGGTAACCTTGGCTAAAGTAGACTTTTATCTACAATGACTAATTACTATTTAAATGAAGTTTCATACTGAATATCGAAATAGCTTACTTGTCGTTTGGAAATTATAAATGCAAAGAATGTAGCAATTTAGCTACCACTGGTTTAATGTGTTTGATACTTCAAGTCGATAAAAACAGTACAGCATAACTGAATTGAGACAAAAGCCAACTCAAAGAGAAACATACATTTACATTGTAGTAGTAATGATTGGAAAAACTTAACATTATGGAGTAAATATTGTATAATACGTCTTTTTGCATATTAAATTTAGTTAAATAATGCAAGATTTTACGCAGTCAAAACACGGAATCGAGTAAAGAAAAGTTCTGTTAGCCTGTTTTTGACTAGTTGTGTCAGCTACTTCACTGACAACTTTAAGGAGCAATTATTTCCAGAATATATACAAATCATTTACATTCTTGTTCTTTAACATTATACCGAGCTAATCAGACATAACTAGCTAAAACAAACAATACATTATTTATTTATTTTAACACATAGGTATTGGTACAAGTAGGCAGCAAATACATATGCGCCACACAATTCCCATTTGATTTGTGTGAGGGCTGTAATACTGCTCGGTTGCCCAAACTGAAGCAGGTGGTTTTCTCAAGGGGCCACTCCCGGAGCCTCTGGCTTAAAAGTCTGATCCACAAGGCAGTGGAGCATCGTGAGGAGATGCAGTCCCATGGTAGCCGGTGAACAACGATTGGTTCATACGCCATTTGTTCCATCAGGATACTGGAGCCCATATGCACCATCGGTTTGGGATCCGGTTAACGCGCCGGACATTCGCTTTTCGTCCTCTCATTTTCGTAAACAACAGTAATGCCACGAGAAGGCAGTGAGTAGGACTTCCCTGGCAGAGGCTATATACGCGTGGCCATGTGAGAGCATTTCGAGAGGGAGAGCGGACTCTCCCCACTCTTGGCCGTACCAGGGCATTTGGGGGCAAAGGTTGGGATGGAGGTGGGATTCGAACCCACGCCCTTTCGGACTGGTGTATTTATTGCATTAATAGAAGTGATAAAGTATAAACGAAGTATAAACTACCTAAAATTCACATTGATATTATTTCGGCCTTTTGTATACCCATATATACACAAATTGTACGCAATATACATCGCCAACCCTCACCCTTTATCCGGGCTTGGGACCGACAGTAGCTCCAGAGGGGCTCCAGTCGGACAATATATTTTTTTTCATCTGCGTCTTCGTAGTACTATCATATTGTATTTATTTTGATGACTCAGATATACCAAATGTGAGCTTTTAAACGAAGGAATAAAGAGATAAATTTCCGGAAACTGTACTTATCACTTAACTATATATGCATAGTCAAATATACATTGATCAACCTAATTTATAGATAAGTCTCAATAGTATAATTATATGAATAAGTAAATTGAGTCTTAGAGTTTTTGGAAAGTAGAACATAACCTAATCACAATAAGGTAAAATTTTATGTGAAATATATCAACAATCATTAAGCAGTTATGATCTACAAGACAAAATACGAAATTATCTGAAATCAGCTTTTATTACAGACTGATATAAGATACAGAACTAGAGGGTACTGAATAGTTGTCTCGATTTAGTTTGGGATTTTTCAACAGTGCGAACTCATGACTCCATAAAAAATGGAAGTTTGGACCTTCACGCCTAGCGAACAGCACTGGTATGATCGAATAGGAGAGGATATAAGCTCCCATAGGTACAAACTTATAAGTGACAAGTATATGATCTAATTAAACTGAAAGCTATCCATTTAAAACAGCAGATAGATCAGATATGGAACACATGTGAAAAAAAAACAACGGAATTACATTGTTGCACAATCACTTATTATAATTACCAAATATATGAATCAGGATGATTAGGATGTGGAAGTATAACCAAAACAAAACTTACTGTCAAATCATACTGAGTGCAGCCTTTCACAACAGGCCAGTAGTATCCATCTCCTAAGACTTTACCAGACCACAAAAAAATCTATTGGAATAAAAAGTTGAAATATAATAATAACATGCTAAAAATAAACAAATGACCAAAAAGCAGGACAAAGTAGAATGTAAATCTTGATTGCATTTAGCAATAAAGTCCAGATCTGGTATAAAAAACTACTGTATCTAATGTCTGATGATGATTGTAAGTAAAGTATAAATGACATGATGATCAATTAATAAACGCAAAAAAGTTCTCATATCGATTAGTATCTTATTTTTAAAAAGTCATCTTTCATTAAATAATTTCATGTCCACTATTCTAGTTTTTGGTAGTTTTATTTGTGGTACTGAACTCTTCATGTAGAACGAAAAAGGACGAATCGACATGAAAATGCGTTAGTTTACTACTTAAACACCGTAATTTCTACATTTTGATAGCACTTACATTCATTGGTATGGAATTCATCACTCTACGTCAACTTCATTGACTACGAGAAAGCATTTGACAGCGTGGACAGGACAATACTATGGAGTACCTGAGAAGATAGTCAATATCCTACGGAATTCCTATGATGGATTAAACTGCGAAATCGTGCATGAAGGACAACTGACAGACCCATTCGAGGTAAAGACCAGTGTCAGGCAAGGTTTATCACTCTTACCCTTTCTCTTTCTCCTGGTGATCGACTGGATCATGAAGACGTCAACATCTGGTGGGAAGCATAGGATACAGTAGACAGCTAGGATGCAGCTGGACGATCTAGACTTCGCAGATAATCTGGCTCTTCTATGGCACACGCAACAACAAATACAGGAGAAGGCGACCAGAGTAGCAGCAGTAGGAGTCAACATACACAAAGGGGAAAACAAAATTCTCCGATACAACACAGCATGCAACAATCGAATCACACTTGACGGAAAAATTTGGAAGATGTAAAAACCTTTACATATCTGCGCAGCATCATTGATGAACACGGTGAATCTGATGCAGATGTGAAGGCGCGGTTGAGCAAAGCAAGAGTAACATATCTACAATTGAAGAACATCTGGAACTCAAAACAACTGTCAACTAACACCAAGATCAGAATTTCTAATACAAATGTTAAGACAGTTCTACTATAGGGGGCGGAAACCTGGAAAACTACAAGTGTTTATTAACAGTTGTCTACGCAAAATACTTCGAATCTGTTGGCCAGACATTATCAGCAACAACCTACTGTGGGAGAGAACAAACCAGATCCCAGCAGGGAAAGAAATCATGAAGAGCTGAAAGTGGATAGGACACAGATTGAGGAAAGCACTCAACTGCGTCACAAGGTACGCCCTCACATGGAATTCTCAAGGCCAAAGGAAAAGAGGAACACCATAGAACATATTACGCCGAGAGATGGAGGCAGACGCAAGAAAAATGAACAAAAATTGGATAGAACTGGGAAGGAAGGCCCAGGACAGAGTGGGTCGGAGAATGCTGGCCGGCGACCTATGCTCCACTAGGAGTAACAGGCATAAGTAAGTAAGTACATCCATTGGTATTAAGAAAGTCATAAACAGATTCAAATAGTCTTTTTTTAAAAATTTACTTCCAAGAAAATATCAGTGAACAATTTCAAATTATAAAACGTGAGAAAATATTTCAGGGATTCACTGATTTACATTTTATACATTATTAATAAAACAGTAGTGACCTAAAATTAAATAAGGATCAGATCATAATCAGTTTATCATGACAGTGGATTTGTGCAACAACGAGATTAAACCTATTTTTCATCCTATTACATTATGTATTTGCGAAACAAAATCATATTTGATGAGACGAAGTATGTAAATACCAAAAAAATGTCTAGCTAGGTAATAGAAATCAATCACAGGAAAATCCTCAACTAGAAAAGTTAGACAAACCTATTTCATCTTCAAGTTAAGTAGAAAAAAGATAATCACACAGTACTAACAATGATTGGATCTTAGTAAAGGACTTAAATTGAAGGAAACTACCACATTTCAGTTGTATATCCCTTTATTTTCTTTTACAGGAAAAATTATAATTATTTTCATCCACTATTCAAGTTACTGTAACCAGATACTTAGATCTGTTTGTACCAACCTTTAATAAAAAGTGGATTAGTCCAGAGAAAACCGATATATATATATATATATATATCACCTTATTATATTTAAATCCTTTATTGGAACTTGGTACTAGTGAAAAATCTGCAAAAATAAAGTTTTAAATTAAATTTGAAACATGTACCAACCTGCTGAAAATTTACGAGCTTTCCAAGGTCATATGGATAGCGAAATGGTTTTTTTTCCCCTATATCCTTTCGCCAAACGTTTGCCTTCAAAAATAATAAGACTAAATAGATTAACATAGTCACAGTAAAGAAACTTCACATATAGACAAGCCACTGACATGTGTAAAATTAATTCAATCCATCTTTTGATATTGTGAATAGTATATTTCAATGTTACAATAAGCGGAAACAAGATTAACGTTTGAAAGATATACATTTCGAAATAAGAAGTGTAAATGACTAACATCGACTGCAAAATTATTCTAATTGTCTTTACTTCAACCACATTTAACCATCCAGTTTCCCAAAGTCAAAACAGTATTCAAGTTAACTATACTACTGCCTAATGTGAAACACCAAAGTAGTATATTGATAAAGCCATGACTGAGGTGTTTTGTACATTTGTATGCCTGACTGATACTCAGGAGTCATATGATTTATATTCACTTTAGCTACTACAATCCACAGCTTAGTTAAACGTCAGAAACACGTAACAGTAGCTGAATCAGATCACAGACGACCACAAACTTAACATATAGGATCTTTCTGGGAGTCCTTGGTCTAAGCAAACTACACCCTTTGCAGCTTTGATAGGACCGAACAATCGATTGGAAGAGCTTATAAAATTCATAAAAAGAAATCTATGAAATGAGAATACGGATTGTGGTAAAGGACATAAACTAGGATGCTGTTAGGCATGCACATGCAATCCACACTAATACTTATATGGCTCACATTATTTCTTTTCATGGAACTTGAATAAAGAGGCTGGATTCATGCTGTTAACATCGTCGATTGATGGACGAAACTGAAGAGTCAAAGAGGAAAATAGTTGGGATCGATCGCTAATTTTTGCTGCTCAGATTGCATTAGCTTCATACTTTCTTAACTCAGTAAAATGAACTAGAAATCCATGGAGAAAATAGAGTATTGGTCCTGAGGACAACCACTTTCTAACTATTTATCTGGCAGGGGACAATATCGCTGGAAACGTTGTTTGAGGGAACACTACTTCACAGTTTTATTTAATCATTTGATTGCCACTTCCCGGACAGTATTCCCTATTTTTAGCCTTGGTATCACTGATACTATGATTATTCCAACTCCACTAATCATCTTGTCAATTTAATCTTGCTGTGCTGATGCGGTGTCCAAAGCTGACCATGTATGAGTTTACTACTATGCAGTACTGTGAGCACCATGACATTACCTCTAATTTGGAATTCGCTGTTTTCGTCTCGTCACTTTCCAACCAACTTTTGCAAGAAGACCTACAAAACTGTGCATTAACAGTCATATCCCAACGAGGTTTTTACAACAAGCTAATACCGCCCACCGCTTCAAGGTAACAGTTAGTCAGGTAACCAGTATCTGGAGTCTGACTGTCAGCAAAAAGTTATTGGTAAACATAGATTTCCTTCAAAAAAGGGAATCAAATTATTTCCCCATAAAATCAGGGAAACAGTAAACTTCACCAAAATACTTCTCATGAAAGTGTGAAGTTATCTGGTCGATGGATAAACGGAACAGCTAAAAGTAGTTCAATTCGAAGAGATATATTATGTACGTCTGTATGACATATGGTCATCATAGAAATAAATATGTGACAAACACGAAACTTGAAGATAAAAATAACTGCTGCCATGTGTTTGAAAAAAATTAACAGAAACTCTAAACTTTGGTTTTGTACTTTTACAGTAAGAACACAACTGAATTTGTGGGCACCAAACTGCTACTAGTACGATGCACAAGAATAAAGGCTAAAAATTAGGCCTTAATTGATTAGAGAATGAGTGAACTGAAAATGAGTTTCCTCTAGTCGCTTATGTTATTTTATTCTCTGATAATATTGAATATGTAACCCTGTCATTTAATTACAGAAGAGAACTATTCTTCTGGTCAGTGGTCATGTCGTTAGACTTAAATCACTCGGCAGATTAAGGCAATTATTCATTTTCGTGAATAACCATCACTAATTTACACTTTGTATAGCTGAGAATCAGATACTGATCAGAATTCTTTCGTCAACTCTAACAATCAAAAATTAGCCTTTTTAATAAAACCCTTCTCTGTAACAACTACAAATGTTGAACACGGTTGTACGAACTAAGTATTCCCTTTATAAATGACTTACTTTCGCTACGATCCATGATTCTATTCCCGTCTGATTCCTTGCAACAGCTTTCAACTGGAAAATTGCTAAAATCCCAACAGACAGTGCAACACCCACAGCTAAACCCAAAGCAAATAATGTTATCATTAGATCAGCTATGACGAACAAAACGCTTGATTGAAATCTTCGCAAAAGTAAACTAGGAAACTGAAATCAAACGAAAATGCTTACATTTTATGAAGACTAGCATTTTTAACATAAATTTAGTACTCATGGGTTTTCGTGCAAACCAAATCATACGTAAAAAAGAACCATAATCACCAGTGGGCATGGGCCTTTTTCCACGAAAATCACTTACAGATCTTGAAAAATCATGGACACAACTTCGTGATTAGAGAGAAACAATGTCACCACAAAAGTTTACAAAAGTCACGAAATCTCGTAACACGATAGATTAATCTACCAGTTAGGTTAGAAACATTACTACTACGAAAAGTTCCGCATCATATCTATATCCCCACAAGAGACTGATAGATGACTTAGCGAGTGAAAAAAATGTCGCTGGAATAAGACAGTGTATATTAGTTCAGCCCCTCAGAACCAATTACAAGACGCGCCTACTTTTAAACACAGAAAAAGTGGAGTGAAAACGTGTTAAGACGGTTAGATTAGATTTTTAAGTACATCAACACTATAAAACCAACCCCTTACGAGTTATAATCCACTCGCCCCCAAATGCCCTGATACGGCCGAGAGTGGGGAGAGTCCGCTCTCCCTCTCGAAATGCTCTCACATGGCCACGCGTATATAGCCTCTGCCAGGGAAGTCCTACTCACTGCCTTCTCGTGGCGGGTGTTGTTTACGGAATTGAGAGGACGAAAAGCGAATGTCCGGCGCTTTAGCCGGGTTGGTGAACACGGAGAGTTCACTTAGGGGAGTTGGGGAACCTTGATTCAAAACCAATGGTGCACATGGGCTCCAGTATCCTGATGGAACAAATGGCGTATGAACCAATTGTTGTTCACCGGCTACCATGGGACTGCATCTCCTCACGATGCTCCACTGCCTTGTGGATCAGACTTTTAAGCCAGAGGCTCCGGGAGTGGCCCCTTGAGAAAACCACCTGCTTCAGTTTGGGCAACCGAGCAGTATTACAGCCCTCACACAAATCAAATGGGAATTGTGTGGCGCATATGTATATGATGCCCCCCTTGTACCAGTATATGTGTTCAAATAAATAAATAATATAGGTCACATTGTTCACTACCCCTAAACAAAAAAACACGACATTAGTACTCAACAACTCCCCGAATAATTCAGAAAGCTGAAAACTACGTAAGTGTCCCTATAACACTCTAGATATATTTTCTTGTTCCACCACGGCCAATGTTATACTTAAAGAAGGTATAATATAGAAAATTTATGATTCTTATTAGCTATTGAATACTCATCATAAAATGAAAATACGGGCCATGAGCCATATATTTTATGAGTTTTCAATATTACCCAATCGGGTTTATATATATAAACTTAAAACAATTATGCAACATTGGTGTTCAGCCTTAGACTGTAGATGCAACACTAACTGTAGAAACCCGCTTTGATGATATATCTGGAATCTCAGTTTGATGGAAGCAATGATCGCTTGAAACAATATCTCCTCAAGAACCATCTTTATTTAATCTAAACCCATTTTGAAAATAAGGGAAATTATTGTAGAAGTTATCAACCATCACCGTTATCTCAAATGTGAGTTGGGACATATAATACTCCCATTAGCCACCACTGGTATCACAATATGAAGGACGGATGCTTCACTTGGTATATCTGATTAAATTATGGTCAAAGATTCATCCGATCTCGGTTGGCTTGACAGTAACTGTTTTAACTTGTACTTTAAGAAACTAGTTGAACATTTATGTAACCTAAACATCGGAAATTCGCAGTACATAATTTCGGTAACTGTTGTTTGCCTAGATAGACAGTTTTATCATGATATTACGGGTAAGGTCATCAGTGCACCTTTCAAAGGTCAAGTTGTGGTAGAACATTCCACCTGGTAGCATGTTACTATCCTACAATATAGTGGAAGCTTTGTGAATAAATCACGGATTCCAGAGAATGCCACTATATTAAGATTTCTTGAATCATGAAGCTGAAACTCACTTTCACTCAATCTAAATTCGTATACACTGATAAGCTTCAGGAACATGTGAACACAGAGACCTGTTAACAAAATTTTTAAAATGTTGACGAGTCTATACAGTTACAGTCGTTGAACAAATTTCAGCCAACAAAAATACGTTGTAGTATCACAGATAATGAATCTGGATCGATGAAAATACCCTGTGGGAAGTTCATTCATATTTTAGTTAAATTTTGTTAATTATTCAACCGAGTCGTACATGTAAAATCTACACTGATCATCTAGATCTGATGAAAATTATCAAGGCCTTGAAAAATCTGGAAAAGGAATAGGGAATAGGTCAATATGGACTGTTTTGACGAGCGATCGTCACGAATTATATGTAACCCTTTTAGAGCGATATTACCCATCAACTGATTCAGTTAACAAAGGATATAAACACTCATTAGACCACAGAGAAATTATCTGAACTGTCGTAAACACTTGGGACTGTTGTCAGTCTCTCACAGTAATGAGTTTACAAGCAGGGAAAAACCTTAAAAGAGATGAAGTCATCAGTTCATTTTTCTAATCGGACGGGTAAATGGCACCAATTAAAACGAAATCAATGTCGTTTAAAGGGTATATCGATCTGTGACCAGAGAAATAATGAAATAAACCAAAACTTACGATTGCTGGACTTTGATATACAGAAAGTGATAGTGATATACAAGAGATAATGCATCCGAATGGAGCAAACAACAAAAACATAAGAAAGTATTTATGGTTAAGATGGCCGCAACATGTATTTATCCAGGGACAATGATGGTCCATTTTCATTATGCACCGGTTGCAAGCTCGACAATGATGGGCTCGTGGAGGCTTAAAACCTCTACAAACATTACAAAACTGAAGCTTCTGTTCAGCTGAAGGGTCACACTAAAAAAACAGAAAATCAGCAAAAAAATATGTTATAGGATGTGTAGAAACAATGCAAAAGAATCTAAAATGCTCACGAACTTCTGTCCCCCAGATTTAACAGTAAAAATGATCGGAAAACCATGTCCTACTCCACAACTATGGTTGCAATAGGAAACCTGTTTATTCTAATATTTTCTTAATTTGATGTAAGTTCAAATTATCACAACTATAAACACAATGCAACAAAATTCATACTAAGTACAACAGTTATCAAGCCAACTGACTTACATTAGTCTATCTTTTTAAAACATAAAGACTGGTACGAATGGGAACTAAAATAAATATGCGCTAAACGATAAAATGAAATTGTGAGGAAATGGAGTACGGCTGTGGAGTACAATCAAAACAAATGAACAAGAATATTTTAAAACAGGAGACATATTTAAGAAGATATAACTTGTAGAAATTCTTCCAGCCAAAGCAGTCCCCTATACTTTTATAAAGAACACGGAGAAAAATTATAGAAGGATCGCTTCTACCCTTAGTTTTATCTAATAACGTCTCGAGCCAATGAACTGCACCATTTCTAGGACCACAACAAGGGAGTCGTGACGGATCGAAAGATGTCCTCAACAGACGATTACGGAGAACAGATCTGTCCAACAAATCGAAGACGGGCCTGATATCAAGATGTACAATGGTCGACCTGCAATAATGCGGTTCCCTAGCATGTGGGGGAGTATAAATATATAAGTAATACAACCAGGACAAAAGACAGTCTTCTTCTCGAGAGTCGGTTCTTCACGAACTTTGAACAATCTGCGAATTACGATAGACGTCAATAGTTTAGACGCAATTGAAGTAAGATTTATCGACCTATAATTGTTGCACAGATGAGGACGACTGTCGTCTTAGCCAAGGACATTAAAATATATTTCCTAACTCCCGACCGTAGCTGATACCTTGACGTGGTGGTCGGGCTTGCCTATCGTGATGACCCAACCGAGCTATATTGGCTAGAACACATGTTCCTGCAGGTTCTACCATGCCAGGCAGGTCGATTGGAGAACGGTAAGACCAAAAGCAGCAACTCAAGGTCTGAGGGCGAAGTCGTACTGCCGACTGTACAGAGGTGTGACAGCAGTAAGGTGTTTCCCTCGGACAACCAGCATCTGCAGCGATGCTGCCCTCTCACAAGGAAGGAAGGGGTTAGAAAACGCTGACCCTAAAAATGTCACACCTCACCTTACCCCACGGATTTCCGTCTCCGGCGATAAGGCCCTTTGAAGAACGGAGCTAACACATTAAAAACTTCCCACAAAAAGGCCGTGCGCGACCGGCCTCAAGCAGTTGTTCCTTGGGCTCTGCGGTCACGCTCCCAGGTCGTTAAGACCAACACTAATCCGATTTCCGTTTCAGGTTCCTCAAGAAATACCCTTCCACGGTGTGGGCAGCCGGGAAGTGACATCAGCCCTCATACCCGTAACAGCACACGAGACCACGTTGGTCACGATCAAATCCTTCCTACACCTCCTAATAACTCTCTTATATCCACGACTAACTCTATTCACATCCCTTTATCACCTCGCCCCGCTAGTGCAAACGATTTGAGAACGCGGAACGTTATTCCTGGTCTCCTGAAACCACGCTCTAAACTACATCTAGGAGCTTTCAACTTCCGAACACTGTGCCAAATAGGACAACAGGCTTCCTTAGCTAGGACTTTAGAACCTCGCTCCATCGATGTGTGCTGCGTCTCCAAAACGCGCACACAGGATCCGAGTAGTGTCATTCATTTGACCGCACCATGTCAAAGTAACGAACCAGCTCGATTTACGCTTCGTATATCTGGAAGCCCTGATGCTGCTTCCCGTGGCCTCGCTGGCGTAGGTACAGCATTGAGTCCTAGGGCAGAACTAGCTCTCTTAGACTGGATCCCAGTAGACAGTCGTTTGTGCGCTGTCCGACTAAACGGAACAGTAAGGACTCGGAAAGATAGGGACACTCGTCGTTGCCTCTTCGTCATCTCTGCCTACTCTCCCATTAACTGTAGCTCATATGATGTGAAAGATGAGTTTTACAGAAAGCTTTCCGACCTTCTCCGAAAAGCTGGGCGCTCTGATGTAGTAATAGTGGCTGGTGACTTTAATGCTCAAGTAGGTAAACTAAGCGAAAGGGAAAGACACCTGGGTGGATCTTATGGTGTCGCGGCTCAAAGAACAGATAATGGCGACCGTCTGTTGCAGCTATGCTCAGATAACCGCCTGTTTCTTGCAAACACTAACTTTAAGCATAAGGAAAAACATCTTTTAACATGGAGACCCTCGAAGGCTCTCTGCTCGAACACAACTGGTCGAGTTGAAGCATATGGCGAACTGTCATCAGAACTGATTACCTCAAGTGGTGTTCGTCAGGGCTGTCCACTCTCTCCATTCTTGTTTAACTTTGTCGTTGACGTCCTTGTAGAAATAACACTTTCCTCATCTAAATTTCCAGGAGTTGAACTTTTACCGGGGGATTCACTTTTTGACTTAGAGTATGCCGATGACATAATTCTATTTGGTGAAGACGCTGACAAAATGCAGAGTCTGCTGACCACTCTAAGCAACAATGCAGGCATGTTCGGTATGCGATTTTCTCCCTCGAAATGCAAAATTTTGCTTCAGGATTGGGTTGCATCGGCACCCGAACCAGTGATAGGGAGTGAAGTAGTTGAGCGTGTCGATTGCTTCACTTATCTGGGAAGTCTCATCAGCCCTTGTGGTCTGGTGTGTAGTAATCATTTGATAGCTTCCATTTTATACTTTTTTGATAAACAGGACAAATAAAACTTATCTGACCTCCGTTTTAGAGTTGGGGAGTCAGTCAGTCAGAAACAACGTGGAACTTCGTACGTACGTACATAAGTTCGAGTTGCCATACCACATTACCACAGAGATTCACTTATCAATTCAAATCCCGTAGTGCTAGAGGTAGTGAAAGTATAAGTAGTGACAGGGAACATTAAGGTTTGATGATGTTATTTAAGGAGTACAGTCCAGTGGAATAGATTTGGAAAGAAATAAAGGACATGAAGAATACAGAAGATTAGAGTTTGAGAGAACACAGAGAGTGGATGCACCTGCGCCATTGCAAACGATTTTGAGCCATGTCATTCAAGGTCTCTAACCATCGGTTGCTATCATCTCGCGGACCCCAACCAGGTAAAAACACTTTAAAATCTCACCATAATACTAATTAATTAAATAAAAGCAATTAAATGAGTATTTACTTTCCGCCTTTTTGGTGGAGGGTCGTCTGTTTTTTCCAACTTGGTCCTACACTTACGTCCGATAAAGTGCTAGAATTTGTTATCTGGTATTCAAATACAATAAGAGTAAAGCTATGATTTACTCACACGTCCAGTGGGTAATGATGCTGAGTAAAAACTTTAGGAATACATTATATATGAACTCGATTCGTTGATGATACAACAGCCAATGATTGGGTCTAAAATTCAGTTCTTCATTGACTGGATCTACTATCTACATTTTTATTAAACTTCATCATAGACACACGTTCTCGTTGACTGAATTTTCGGGAATTCATCTACCAGGAGGTACACTTATCGACTTAGAATACGCAAATGACATAGTTCTGTTTGGTTAAAACTCTGTTTATTTATATTTATTTGAACACATAAATATTGGTACAGAAGGGGGGCACCAAATATATATGCGCCACACAAAACAATGATAATTTGAAGAGGAGAAAAAAAAGGTAATGAACGTGGGGAATTATGAAAAAAAAAGAGAGAGAACAATAATGGGGGAAACGGAAAGGTACAATCAGAAGAAATCTTTCAGTTAAGGAAGATACAACCACTTTTTATGAAGTAAAAGAAGGTTACAGCAGGATCGCCATTGGCTTCTATTCTGAGCTATATCTGATAACATCTTTAGCCACAGTGTTACACCGTCCCTCGGACCCCAGCCAGGGAGTCGTGAAGGACCAACAGAAGCCATCCCTTTGCAGCTTTCTTTCATACCACGACACCATGTCATATACTGACCACTTCTCTGCTTTTTCCAACCAGTCCCAGAGTCGGCAAATAGTGCACGACGAGGAATTCTCTGGGACGACATTCGTAGAACATGTCCAAGCCACCGAAGTCGATGTTTCAAGATGGTGACACCAATTTCATTATCGTCTCTGTGACCGAACACTCGATGCCGAACCTCTGCATTACTGACATGGTGTTGCCACTGGATGCCAGCAATCCTTCGGAGACAACGATGATCAAACACAGAGAGTCGTCTAACATCCTCAACTCGGAGAGGCCAGGCTTCACAAGCATAGAGCAAAACTGCTCTCACCGTTACGTTGTAGATCCGACCTTTTACAGCCAGACTAACATCACGAAGGCGCCAAAGGTGGCCCAGATTGGCATAAACCGCTCTGGCTTTCACTATACGTGCATTGATCTCATCACTCACACCACCACCAGCACTTATGCAGCTATCCAGATACACGAACTTCTCGACCACTTCTATCTGCTCACCATCCAGAGTGAGTACAGGATTAGAATCCTGCCAGTCTTGTAGGAGTACTTTGCACTTCGAAGGTGCGAAGCACATACCATACCTACGGACATTAATTGCCACTAAAATCATGAACTATTTGCTTATGGTTAAAACGCTGATCAAATGCAGATTCTTTTGGTAGCACTGGGCAGCAATACCAGGATGTTTGGAACGAGCTTTTCTCCCTCTAAATACAAGTTGTTGCTTCAGGACTGGTCTGCGTCAACATCTGAACTAAGGATAGGGAGTGAAGTAGTTGAACGCGTTGACAACTTCACTTATCTTGGAAGTCTGATCAGCCCTGAAGGGTTGATGTCTGACGAAATCTCAGCACGGATTCAAAAAGCTCGTTTTGGCCTTTTCCAACTTGCGTCATCCAAGGCGAAGGCGAGGTATCCGTCTATCAATTAAGGTACGAGTATACTGCGCGGAAGTTCGTTCCGTTTGACTATACGGCTGCGAAACAGGGCCTTTAGGAGTAGAAGATCCTCGTAAGCTACTAGTATTTATCACAGATGCTTTAGAAAAACTGCTCGCATATATGCTGGGATCGTCGGGTAAGTAATAGTGAGGTTATACGCAGGGTATCAGGGAATGATGGTAAATCAGTTGATGAGGTTGTGGATATTCATCGACTGAGATGGTTGGGCCACGTGTTGGGTATGCCTGAACACCGATTACCACGACGCGCAATGCTAACCGATGTTACGGATAATTGGAAGTTAGGGGCGGCGAAACCGAAACGTTACATCAGTGCTTGAAGTCACTAACTTCTGATCTGAGCCATGTTGGTAGATGCAGACTACTTGGTTGGAGTCCGCCTGACTATCGTAACCAATGGTTGGAGACTGTGAGTGACATGTCTTAGAATCGATCACAGTGGCGCCGGTGTATACACTCTGTTTTCGCTTAAACTTTGAGATCATAATCGCTGTATATCATTTATATATTACTACCATTAAAGTAACTACTTCTATGAATTTGTTTATCTTATTGTGCTAATGCGTTATGACAACTTGGAACGATGCATATATGTGCCTGGTTTTACGATGTAACTGACTAAGAGCCCCCAAATGCCCTGGTACGGCCGAGAGTGGGGAGAGTCAACTCTCCCTCTCGAAATGCTTTTAGACCTTTAAGTCAAAGGCCCGGAATGTAGCCCCCTAAGGAAACCACCTGCTTCGGTTTGGGTGCTAGGGTAGTATCACAGCCCTCACACAAATCGAATGATTTATGTGGCGCATATCTATTTGGTGCCTTCTACCTATATTTACGTGTTTAAATAAATGATAATGATAAAATAAGATCGACTGGATAATGAGCGATGTATAAGCTAATTTTCTTTAGCTGCTTATGATATTTGATCATGCCTATTTCATATTTATATTTTGTACATAAGCACATTATTTTATGACGCGATTTTATTCAACTGACTAGTTGTCTTGTCTTTGATTTAGAATTGTTCGGTGGCTTAGGTCACTTATACGCTCTCGTGAGTACCTATCAATCAGCCACATATCATTGTGTTTACTTATCGATAATCATCCTAATCATTGATTTTTACCGATTAAAAGTGTTGTCCAAACAAATTATCGAAAATCTCCTCTAGAACAGTTAGATACCGTGATAAGTGTGAAAGTAGAATACAGGAATAGGAAATATAAGGAAGTAGATTAGCCTTGCTGTGAATAGAATTATCGTGAGTCTTAATAGATGCATTAAGGTTGTCTCCCCTTCTCAGTTTCCTGCACTGTGGAAGGATACTTCCTGTTGCACCTGAACGTAAACTGAGTTCGTGACAGTTCTAACACCCAAACACTAGGGTGAGTTAGTAGCTACTGGTTCTAACACCGAACGTAAACGTCATGAAATGTACCGATGAAGATCTATATCCCCCAACTTCATTTAATTAGAAAAGGATACTGACACCACTTACATTGCTGAGCTATGTTAAGGTTGAGATCGATTGTTTAGAGGTAAATCTATGCCCAACCACAGAAAGAAGATCCATATTGAACGAAAATTTTAGTGGCCAACTTAATAGTATAAAAGTAGCAGGATCACATAACTAACTTGATCAGACAAGCTTTTGGAATATTTACACTGATTTAAAAATGAAAAACAACTGGATTGAAATATCAGCGCTCCAACTTTGAAGCCGGAAAGACTATTATCTACATTATTCATGCGACGTTTTCAATCCTTCTAATTGAAGTAAAAAGCAGACCTGATGTACACTTTTTCTTTGATCACTACACATATCATTGTCATAAATAATACATTTATATAAAGGGTAAAAATGAATATGAGAAACCAGTATTTATCGAACTTTGAGACTATGTCTGGTTGTTAGGTACATTTCGACCTTAAATCCTAGCATTTTAAGCATTACCATTACTTCTATAGTGATAACTACAAGTAATTGGTTCCCTGTGGAAGCTAAATTGACACCATTTCCCAAAGTTTACCTTACTGCAAAAACAAAGGAAAAACAGATGAAGCATCGACTTACCGGCCTCCAACCAAGAGGGACAAATCCTGGGCCAACAAATACAGCACAAAGGTAAGACTTCAGAGTCATATAAAAGAAACTAAATATGCACGTAGAAAGAAACAGACCAAGAAGTGATGAACAGGGAGGGGCGACATGTAAAGTATTGTATAAACTCGTGAGTGTAATAAAAAATATAATCCAGATTGTAGAGATTGGACCCCAGTGAAATAAACGCTTCAGTTTGTCACGAAAGACAGAACAGATAGATTCATTCATCACGCAAAGGTATTGTAGCACGTACTATCAGCGTTTACCGGCAAGCAGGAGCAGTCTGAAACGCAACACAACAATCAGAACCGATAAATGCCACTGAAGTAAGCACACGGCGCACTGGCACAACAGATATATTTCAAAATTGAATTACGCGGTTCGAGTACAAAAGGGGAAGTTAATTACAAAATGGGTTTACTCATTGTCCTGCAGGTCTAGCTTGCGCAAAGCTTGTTCCTCTTCTTCTAGTATGTTTACTTTCTGTTGCCCTGCAATGAAGAAAACAAACTCGCATTAGTAAAGTCACATGTAATGATTTTTAATACCGTTACATTATCTGTAGTTGAAAATTGCGCCAGATCTATGTCTACAATGCGATTGGTTCATTTTTCAGATGGTTCAAATGGTTGTGGATACAATAGAAGCTTTCCCTTAGCAAGCTTTCGTATTTAGCAGCAGCGAAACACTGATGCCTCCATGTAGGAATCTTGGTATATTTGATTAATAAAGGAGAAATATTATTAAATTATAATGAAATACTGTCGTAGCAGTAAATAAATCCCCAAAATCATTAGCCCTGTAAGTCTTCGACGTTTGATGCTGACTGCAATAATTGTTCTGAACTCCCATCGCTGAAAGCGCTGAGAGCGCTTTACGAACGGGAAGTTCACTCCTAACATTTGCTGTATCCTTACGCAAAAAAAAAGTACCATTTCTAATCTAAAGAATCTGTCCTGAGCTTTAAGTTCAGTAGATCGCTGTTCTTTTTGAGTTTTACCCAACTTGATAGTTAACTGTGGCTTTGTCTCAGCTTACTATTCGGTTTAACAGTTTTTCATATCAAGGCTAGTTTCAGTTTATCCTAACCGCTTGTACCACCCATTTTTATCCACTTTTATCATTTTTTTGGTGTTTTTTTTTTGTTTTATGGTCGTGGACTTTTGCTTGGATCTATATAACAAATTGTGTCACTACAGTCACGAAGAATCCATGCAAGCGACCGTACCGTTTTGCTGTTACATCCGACATGCAGTGTGACAATTGCAAAGGTTGGTTCCACGAAGCATGCACAGACCTCACAATAACTGTTTACAACAGACTCAATAAGTCGGATTATAGGTAGGTATGTGTCACGTGTAACACGAATACTGAGGTTTTGCTGAAAAACATCATGATTCTCTCGATAGGTCTGCGGAATAAGTTGTCAGCGAACCTGAAAAAAAGGCAGTTTTAAAACGGGTATACAAAGACGCTCAACGAAAACATAAAGAGGGATCTCGACGGCGCTACTATCGATAAAGCGTGTAATAACACTAGTGAGGATATGCTGAAACTCAGGAGCATCATAACATTGACGGTACTAGACTCCTTCAGCAGACTTTTCGTGCCTTATGGTAATCCTCGCGTTATTAATAGAAGAAACCAGACTCGTAGGAAAATAGGTCTTTATTTTGATCTTCGCGCAGTCACAGTGGAGCGTGGGATTCCTTACTCAGACAAACAAAACCTCTCAACAAGCAATATAAGATAGATAGAAATATAACGCCTAAACAAAATAAAGAAGTGAATAAATATCTGAACTATGCTGTTTTGATATATGGTTAGTTGCTTGAGATTAACTCTTGACAACCAAACTAAGCTGTTACAGATTTGGGTTTCCCAGTACAGGATCCCTGAATGAGTCAGTGGTTCCCGAAAGCTCTTTAGGTGATTGGACTCCCGTTAACAAAGTTAAAAAGGACCAGACGTCACCTTCTAGGAAGCTGAACATCCCAAGTATTGTAGTAGAATCAACTGGTTTTTTGGCCTCAGAGCCCCCCATGAATATCCAAACGGTCAGCAAATAGAATAGGAATCGGAAACGCGCATCGACCTCCAAACAACAAGGTCCTCAACATGAACGCACCCGAAAACCTGGGAAAACAACCACGGTTCGCGATGATTCTTTCATAATCATGAACATTGAAGAGAGCCCTGACCTTCCCCTCAGTTTATAAGACAAACATAGTAAGATGCTCTGAGAAGAGTTTGTAGTGGCATTGGGCCCTAATCGCACAATCCTTAAAGCTGAACACGAGACAATTGGGGAAATAGATATTCAACGTTTAACGCGGAGAGAAACCCAACGATGGAGAAGGTGGGGAGAATAAATTCGGTTAAGTCGAACTGATTAATCAGATGTCATGGCCCAGCATCACAGGCGTAGTCAGTCTTGAGTGTTGTCTTATATCTTTTGTTCATATTAAATATACAGTCCTATCTCTAGCCTGAGCTTGATCTCCATCACGTATTGTGATTGTTACGATGCGATGAGTTCATGTAGACAATGATGTGACTTACACGTGAGATTTTATGGATTAAGCAGTTACATCATGACAAATCTATAATTTTAAAATTAAGTCTATCATTAGAGTAGTACTAATATCGAGTTGAACAAGAAGTTCGAACTTCCCAAAGCAGAGTCTCTGACGGTCATGTGGCCCACTCTAATCATCAAAATCACTCAAGACTACTTTTTGTATCACTCAATAACGCTACCGACGTGGAGGATATCCTAGATGCTAGTCACTAACCAAAACCAGATAGAAACGCAAGAATACTGCCTCATCCGGAACATCCCTAAAGAATTTCGCGAGAAGTCTTTCCGCAGAGGAAATATCACTGTGAAAGGTGCACCAGAAAACACGGACCCCGACCACACTAATTCCAACATTCGGGAATAGAAATATATTAAGCAGTTCATGAAGCTCAAAATACATATTGATTCAGCAAGTGGAGAGACTAATCAAGAAGGACGGAGATTCTAGACCTCGGCTGATGATGACAACCTTTCCATCCTCCCATATAGCGGCTGAAACTCTGGAAGCATTTAGTGTCCACAGACGTCGGTGGCCAACTGGAATTTATACGCATCCGGATACGTCACATCACGCGAGGATCTGGCACGAAGGCAAGTTAGAGCTGACTATTTCACTTGTGGACTGTCTAAATCATGACGAAACGTGGAAACTCAGAAAACCTTGCATTCACATAAGTCTCATACAGACAAACAGAACGGGGAAGCTCATACGTTTCAAATTGAAGTCATAAACTGCTTATACATGAACATCGCAAGTTTACCGAAAAAAATGGATGAGCTACATGAACACAGCATTGCCAATAACGCTCATCTGATAGGAATATATGAAACCTGGACACTGCTAGACGGAATACAAACGAACTGGTATCAACGGAGCATTGAAGCAGTACAAACAAGTAAGAAATATATGCACAAAGGTAATAAGAGAAGACAAGCTTCAGTACCAGATAAAGCTTATGGATAAATTTGTCTCCAATCAGTAAAGCTTATTTCGTTATGTGGCCTCTCTTCGACAAGCCGAAACTAGAGTTTCCCAACTGATAGATTCTTACGGCCCAACTAATAACGACTGTGGCACCGCTAAACTTCTGGCTGAACAGTACTCTCAGACATATCAACCGAACCACATCAACTATGCCGATGACAGCTTCATCTCCAACTGCACAGGACGTTCCGTAGTGAATCTGAGCGCTGACTTCGTGTTCCGGAAACTGCAGCACCTAAGAACAGACACTTCTTCTGGCCCAGATATGGTCCATTCCGCTATACTGGTGGAAGCAGCTTCAATCCTGGCAACACCGCTTAGCGTGACGTTCTCACACTCGCTAAGTCGAGGCAAACTACCGGAAAGTTGGAAGCTGACTCATATCACACCAATTTTCAAAGGATGTCGACTCAGCGAAACTTCAAACTGCCAACCGGTGGCTCTTCTCTGTCTATATCTTAAAAAATATGGAGACCCTGACAACCAATGGTCTACACGACTATCTGCTGTCCTTAAATTTCTTCTCACCCCATCAGCATGGTTTCAGGAAGGGTTGTTCCTGTATGACGAACATGCTGACTGCGGTGGATATATGGACAAGCATCCTTGATCGCAAGGGGAAGGTGGATATCATTTACCTTGACTTCTCAAAAGCTTTTGATAGGGTTAATCACATATATCTTATAAATATGCTCAGAAAATCGGGTATCAAACCACTTCTAATTGATTGGTTCAGTTCATGTATGAAAAATCCACATTTTAAGGTCAGGGTAAACTTTAATTTGTCACACGCTATGGAATGTCCTAGTGGGGTCCTCCAGGGCTCATTACTATCAATTTATTATTTTTATTTATTTATGGCTTTATTCAATATTATATTCTGGTACAATATAGAATTCTCAGCACAAAAATATTTCAACAAGTTTCTTTTACAGAACAAAAGAAAAAAACGGTTAAAAAAAATCTGAAAAAAAAACTGTACAACTGTTCAATTAGAGTCATGTTAAGAATGCAGATTATTGACTAGGTTAACTCTAACAACCTGTTCGCCTATAAATGACACTTATCATGGTCCGGATATGGTTCAATGCTGACAAAACCGCTTGGAGCGATGTTCCTACACTCACCAAGCTGAGGCACGTTGCCGAAAATTTTGAGGCTGTCCCATATCACGCCAATTTTCAAAGGATGTCGACTCAGCGAAACTTCAAACTACCGACCGGTGGCTCTTCTCTATCTATATCTTAAAAATTATGGAGTCCCTGACAACCAATGGTCTACACGAATATTTGCTATCCTGAAACGTGTTTTCACCCCTACAGCACGGTTTCTTGTACAACCAACCTACTGGCTAGTAGAGAGATAGAAAACCATCCTTGACTGCAAGGGGAAAGTTGATATAATCTACCTTAAATTCTCAAAACCTTTTGATAGGTTCAACCATATATGTCTTATTAATAGGTTTAAACGAATAGGTATCAACTCACCTCTAATTGATTAGCTCACGCCATATCTAAATATTGGACATCTTAAGGTCAGGGTTGACGTCAATTTCTCTCAGATTATAGAGTGTCCTAGTAAGTTCCCCCAGGGCTCAGTACTAGGACCTCTTCTCTTCTTGATTTATATAAACAACCTTCCACAACAGGTATCGTCTGACATTACTTTTTACTGGTGATGTGAAACTTTGGAGAGAGGCACGCAACTAAGAAGATATACTGGCACTCCAGGAGGATCTGGCTCGACTTCGAAGTTGGGCAGATAACAACGGATCCAACTTTAAGACTTTAAAGTATAAGGTAAACCATTTGAGACATGTTGCAAATTGCAGCTACAACTGAGACTACTTCTCTCTGGAAGTGTCCCCAGTTGACAAAGATTTAAGAGTGCTGGTACCCTACGATTTGAAGTCTTACGCTAACTGTGACAAAAATGCCATTTGAGCAAACCTTGCACTGGTAACATTGAAGCGCATTTTCGGCCAGTTTGACGGAAGAACTTTCTACATAATCTCCGACAGTTTTATTCGTCC